TTTACTTTTTCAATATTTAACTTTTTACAAATTATAAAAAAAAATATCAACATGTGTGATGTGTATTGAGGAAAAATGTAAGTTTGATATTTAATGTTACAGTGAATTCATAGATGAGGTCGATTCCATTTATTGGCCAGTTGATTAAAATTCCTTATATAAATAAATTTTGAACATAAGTTTTATTGAGTTCCTGGTTGTGTGCTTTGTTTTTATCATTATTGTTTCCAGCAAAGTAAGACTTGTCATTTTTCATTATTTTTGTTCTTGTTGTTGTTTTTCTCCCTTTATAGTGTCCGATTGAAAATGACCTAATTTGTCTCTAGAACTAACTATCATTTTGTTTATTATCTCAGATATTCATATATAATATATATGTATTCATCTGAAATAATGTTTGAAGCTCAACCTTTCTTTGATGACAACTGTAATCCAATATTCTTTCTATCAAACGAAACATTTCAGGCGCTTACCATTGTCAGTTCGAATCCCGCCAGGAAGGAAGCTATCCAGGTAGGTTACGGACGTTGTTCTATTCGGGTGCCCGCTCATGCCTGAAATAATGCATGGAGAGGAAACCGATGTCTTCCTCCACTAAGTTGCAAAAAGATATTTACTATGTCAGTTTGACAAAAACTTGACCACAAATGGCTATGTTAGAGTTATGTAAGTTAGAGTGCCTACGTCTCACAACGTTATAGACTCATGTAAATTATTGTGAAACATTATTTCATCGTGCGTGATGATTCACATTTCATTATAAACAGGGAGAAATAAAATTAAGAATGTCAACATGGCATTTAATCTGTATCCATAAGATGCATTGATACACGAAACAAATTTCGCACGATTTTTATCGTGTCCTATTTCGTCCACAAACTTTCGCAAATCTGACACAAAATTTTGCCATAGATATTCTGCCGCTTTGTCCTTAAGAAACTGAAAGCAAGATTATCCAAACACATGTGAACACAAATATTAACGGAACGTAGTCTTCCACATTATCCATTCAAAGCTCATTGAATTTGTTTTTGATGTGTTGATCAATTCGTAACTTATGTATACATATGTAAAGGAATTTGAGACGGATAAAGACAGATTGACAATTTAATGTATTTTATTTTAATATATGTAGTTTACACTGCAGTGTAACGCCGCAAAACGTCCGTACCGCAAAACTTACGTATATGGACGTTTTGTGGCGCATATCGTCCACATTTTTCTGACACATTTTGCAGCAAATAGGCATGGTCCGGCCACATAACGTCCATACTTTAAAGTTTATATTATTTTCGTTAATTTTGACCAGTTATTATCAGGTGTTATTGTGTGTTTATTTTAGCTCACCTGAGTATGCGTCTGTCTGTCCGTCCGTCCAAATTTAGCTTCTTACCACTCTAGCATCCACATACCCTAAGCGATATGTCCAGAGTTATCTGCCCTTGAATAACAATATCTGTTATATTTCACATTGTTACCACTCCAACGCTTTCATTTCTTCTTCAATTTATGACAATAAAATCTTAACAAAGTTAGATTATAGGCTAAATCTAGCAAAAAAAACAACAACAAAAACGCACTATATTTTACCTTGTTAGTGCTTTCGTTTCTTCCCCTTTCTTAAAAAAATTTATACAGAATATGCATAACAATAAGGTCTCGATAAGTTCATTCATGACCTAAACGACTGAATATGTCAAGAGTTACTTGCCTTTGAATAATAAAGATAAAGACATATTTTAAAGTCAAATTATTGAATTGTGATAAAACTGCCATTTCTTTGTTATCAATAAAAAATATCAGATGTCATTCATACATTTATGACAGGACGGATATCTTGAATAGGTCAACTATAACATTGACCTTGAAATGACCTCGACATCAAAGTCACTATTGAATTTTCCATTAATTGCCAATTCTTTGTCATTTACAGATATTTGGATATTAATGACCATTTCAGACGTAGGATATCAGTTACCCGGATTCTGACCAAGTACATGTAATATCCAATGCTATCTGCCCTTGCCATGTGGAGCCTTTATAGGCAGGTGGGCGATATAAGGCCACCATGGCCTTTTTGCTTGGTTCAGTTATAAAATTACATTGTTAAATAATAATTAGCTCTCTCACTAAAATATGATTACGCTGTCAAAAAACCCCATCCATCCGTTAAATTGAACGGTAGGACCAAACCCCCATAGCCAACAAGAACACAAAGAATCATTCCCACTGCTTGATGCAATAATATGAAAAGCTATTGTAAAGAACAAAGCTAAATTTTAATATTTTTTGTCATTCACTCAGTCCAATCCACGGTTCGTCCGTTCGTATAGCCGTCCTTTTCTATATGTCTAAAAGATTACATTTAGTTCATCGTTTTTATATCTCTGCTGCTGCTGCTGCTTCTTGGCTCCATTCCATAAAAAATCTATTCGAAAAAAATCCTCGTCTTAAGCATTTTTCTTTTTTTTTTTTTAATAAAAAAGTCAGAATTATATAGGATCACAAAAATATTGCACTTTAATGTTTATTTCGACATAATATTTACCTGAAACAATATGAAAGTGACAGAATCAATAAAAGTAACGTTTATAATGAATTGATTTTAATACAGAAAATATGTACGATATGTGAGGCAAAGACACACTCTCGCCGCAAAACGTACCAAGTACGATATGCACCGCAAAACGTCCAGATGTGTACGGTATGCGACGCAAAACGTCCACACGCGTACGTTTTGTGGTACGGACGTTTTGCGGTTTTACACTGCATGTAAAATATCGTACGTTCTTATTAATATTTTACATGCGATGAATTGCAAGGAAAAAAGGAAACAGTACTCATATTTGCTGTTTGATATCAAAAACATGAAACAAAAATGAAAAGCTGAAATAAAGCAATAAATAATTTTGCACATGAAATCACCAGATATTTCAAAATGAAAATGTTAATGTAAAGGAGCATGCACATAATACATATATAGACATATTTAAAAGGAAATCAAATAAAAAAAAGCAATTTAAAGAAAAAACATAGATTTGTATACCTACGGTACAGTAAACTTTTCAGTGTCATTGTAGTTGATAACTGGATAATCTTTATGGCAAAGAGTTCACTATTTCTTAACATGGGCGATAAAAAAAGTTCTCTATAAATGTTGTAATGTTTGTGCTTTGAAATAACATTCTTTAAGTTTCATAATATTCTTTCATTTTCGTTATTGTAACCAATATAGATAAATTTTACACTATAAATACATTTTTACTGTTAAAATACGGACAATAAAAATACGCTTTTCATTTCATCAATATTTCTCGATATTTCATTTCTAAGTATATAATAGATTTTTTTTAATTCACCATCAAAGTCTACCTTATTTATCGAAAATGTAGAAAATTCTATGAATGAAATGTTTCGATATCTTTGATTAACCGCCATTTAACAAAAAATCCGACCGTCAACATATATTTATCTTTTTATTTTTGAATTCATCAAATTTTACTTATCATATGAAACATTTATAAAATTCTATGAAATTTATTTTTTCTTAAACTGTAGAAAATGTATTGAAGTCAAGTTTGTAATGAAGGACAGAGAACTCTAACTTGGGTATGACTCAAATACGCAACGGAGATTTTTGTCGCAACGGGCGCAACGGACATACTTTTAGCACACAGGCACAACGTATGCTTTTTGTGAAAATAATTAAGATTGAAGTAAAAAAAAAACAGATAAACTGAGTGAAAATGTGACTATCTTTTGAAATGTATCACAATAGGTTGCTTTGAAGGATTCTATGACACTGAAAGCGATGCCTTATTTTCTCCAAACTTCAAGATATCACGAACACAATGCTTTCTTCCACTGTGTAGTAATATCAAACCGGTTAGCCATTATGGACATTCAGGCCTTTGATTACTATAACTTAATGATAATCGGCGAAGTATACCGATAACGGAACAATCGTAATATTTCGGCGAAAAACGGAAGCGGTGCATGAAATACCGAATGGCAGAAAACTGTCAGAGAAAACATAATCATTTTTTTGTCTTGCTTCCCCGTGCAAAGGCTTTCCCTTCTTTCATATAAGTACATATACAATTTGAAGTAATCTCTCTAAAGAGAGAATAGGATAATCCGTCTATTTGAGCTCTCTACAAATTTGACGGCATCCATTTTTGAAAATCAATAGAAGTTAATGAATCTCATTTAAAGCCTAGACTCATTAGAACAAGTCTACAAAATTGTTATGCGCATGGACCGTTTTAAAATATGACTTTAATTAAACGCAAAATTAACAACGTGGTGAACAAATCGGTAAGGGAAAAAAATCAGAAATTATCATTTGCGTCAACACTACAAACAGTGGCTATTTCTGTTTTAATTATTATGATTGTTGTTTTCTTGTTTGTCTATTATTTACTAGTTCATGTTTCGAAAGATTGTAGCAGTAAACACAATAGCTACAACGCCAAGCACTATTATACTACCGAGTGAACCGTGTATTGAAATTTTGCTTCTCCGGTTATTTCTAATCACCCATCCGAAGACTGGTGGAAAAAGACGGATAACAAAACTATTCTGCCTATTTATTAAACATTCCACGAATTAAAGAAATCTTCAAAAGCTGTTAAAAGACCTCTTGCATGCTTCTTTTTAAAGAAGCAAACTTGTAATTTTACGACTGTTCCGTTAAATAATCGGTATACTTACCGATTATCATTGAGTTACATTTAGCAAAGGCCTGAAGGATCATAATAGCTAATAGGTTTGTAAAGTGGAAAGAAAAGCATCGTGTCCACAATGTCTTGAACTCTAGAAAAAATAAGGCATCGCTTTCAGTGTCATAGAATCCTTCAAAACAACATATTGCAACTATTTGTGATACCATTTAAAACAAAGTTATATTTTTCACTCAGTTAATCTGTTTTATTACTTAAATCTTAATTATTTTCATAAAAACCATACGGTGTGTATGTTTTACTCAAAATTATGTCTTTTGCGTTGCGTCAAAACAGCTCTTTTGCGTACTTTAGTCATACCCACATTAGAGTTCTCTGCCTCCACTTCAAAATTCACTTACAGACATTTTCTACAGTTTAAGAAAATTTTAATCCTTTCATATTTGTTTTCATTTTTTTTTTTTTTTGTATGATAAGTAAAATTTAATGGCGAATTCAAAAACTAAAAGAAAAAAATATGTAGACGTGTTGGGTTTGTGTTTTTAAAATGACAGTTTCCATGGTAACCGTATATCTCAAATAGTTAAAAAAAGCGACACTATGTTAAAAAAATAATGTATAAGACAACTTAATATACACAACAAGCATAAGTTCATACAAAGATAACTTTCTTTAATGATTCTATATGAACCAAACAATAATCTGAACATATCTCTTTCTTTTTATAAATAAATAAAAGTTTCGAGTTTTTAAAAAAGTGTTTTTCATGCTTCTGAACTCAACCAAGGTCTTTCAAAACGACAAGTGCATAAGGAAAACCTAACAATATTAGACTATTTTCAAAGCATTGTGAAATAGAGGCGCAAGTAAATGATGACGTCAGACGTTCAACTGCATAGCCAACGCTGCGTTGTAAAAAGTAATTCAAATGAAATATTAAGTCAATAATGCCGTGTACCTTTTACCTACTTTTTTGTTTGGCGTTATGAAAATGAATCGAAAATTAAACATAAAGAAGAAAACGCAATGCTGGATTTATGCACACATGGTAGCTGTCTACGATTTAGAAATATATTGTTATTTGTGCGCGCTTCTGTTCTTCAAGGTATATTTTGCGTTTAAGAATTTGCATTATCCTAATTTCCAATATGGTGTACATATGTCAATCTGTATGTCAAAAAGAGAGTATTTTGTAACATTTTTATTACATAACATTTATATAATTCTAACAACGTTGTCGAAAAGGTTTTATTATCGGGCAAATCTCATTTTTACAAGTTTTTTTAGAATTGTTAAAAAAATCATCAAAATACATTAGTGTCATTATTTATCTCTTTATTTCATCAAAAGCTTTAGCTATACTGTAAATGTGAGTCATTTGTTACATAAAAATCACCCTTTTCAAAAATAAACGCGATAAAGAAAACATTTTGCCTTCTTTTTTAAATCTATTTCTAAATAACCATTTTACAAATAATAAATAGTTATTCAATTTTATTGATAATAACAAGTTAAAATTATAATTACTTTGTTACTAATATTTTAATTAGTGAAAAAATTAACAATTTTGGTCAAATGATTTATTAATTATCCCAAAAGGTTAAATCTATCCTCTTTTATTGAATTGGAATGATTTATTGCAATCACACCTTGGAGAGTTATAGTTTATATCCACTGCACTTCCCACAAATAAGATCTATCCACATATTAAAATTCAAAAAATATAGAGAAAAACTGATTCCCTATTGAAAGCAAAGCGCGTCAAAATTGAAAATACAGACTCAATTTGACTGTGAAAAGGAAATTAATCATAAAACATTGCAAATGGTTATAACTCTTAAATTGTGCAAGTTAGTAGGAGATCTTAACACATATAAAGTTTAAGGTTACTAACTAAAATAGTCTAAGTCTTATACTCAGTTCTAATACAGATTTGTTTTAATTTTGTTCAGTTAATTAAAATGCCATTGAATCTTCCATAAGCTACATATTTGAGCTCCTCTCCTTCCACGTTATTTTGCACCCAAACTTTTTCTCCAGCGCTTACATATGTTATTCCTATAACAGCTTTATTATTGGCAGTTTGACGTGCTAGGACCCTCTTGTTATGCATCAGTATAAAACCGGAATTTTCTGGTTCAATGTCAAATGTGAACAAGTATGTGCCTGACTTAGGTGCTGTGAATTTTGTTTTAGAGCGGCCGAACCCTCCACCGTGATTAAATATTATTTTTCTAAAAAATACCCTTCTATTACCAGAAGGCAACTTTTTGTTCACATATAAAAGCTGTGTCCCTGTTGTTTCTGCAGAAAATGAAACTTTTCTATCTGAAATTGAAAATACACATATATATAATGTAAAATATGTTGAAACCTATAACATATGTTATAGGTCAAGTCAAGTCAAATAGTTTATTAATGTCTCTTCATACGTACAACATGATATAAAACTGTAGTGTAAAACATTATAAAATACGTATGCCTTTCAATACAGAAATATAAGAGACAAATCAATCTATACATTACTTAAAACGTTACATAGCATCTATTTTAAAAGACCAAGTATTGAAATAATGACTTGGCCTAAAATATTGTTAACTATATTCATACAATGTTGTTAATAATGTGAAGTTTAAATGTATATGGATCATGAGGAAACTGTGTGTCCATCTGATACTAGTCTAGTAATATGTATCCAATAAATTTTACACTATTAACAAGTGTGTCACAAAAAAAAAGTTATTGACAATAAATTGATCCATTGTTAACTGTTATCTGAAATATCAGGATTAAGTGAAGTTATTTTAGAAACAATTATCCAAACCCCAATGCTTCAAATTGATGCTGATAGTATATATCCACAATTTCAAGTTCTTTATAATTGTGTGCCTGGACTAAAAAAAAATACTATTTCCTCATTACTTTTCCATATAAGAATGTAGTAATAAAATAACTACTAATAATACAATTCAAATGTTAAAATAAACACTGTACTATTAAAAAGACATTTACATTATTTACAGTACAGTAAAATTTTCCTTTGCTTTAAAATGTTAAAACAGGCTTTGGCTGTATATTTAACTATGTTTACATCAGTGAATAATATACAAAATTTCTCCTTATCAGATAAATTATCAAACCCATTAAAAACTCCTCTACTCTGTGTGTATAGTTCCTCTCTTATGGAGGTGTACAATGGACATTTCAGTAAAACATGTTCTTCATCTTCAATACAGTTTAAACAATTGAAACAAGTTCTGTCATGTACATTAAGATTTTCATACCGCCCAGTTTCTATTCTAATCGGTGCCACACCGCATCTAAATTTTGCCATAGCACTTCGAAAATGAAATGGAAGTGGTTCTTTAACATAGTGTTCAGTTACAAAATGAGACTTTATAAGTCTGTAAGATCTCAACTTATTACAACCATTACCTCTTACTGAATCAACTCTGTTTACAGTTTGCTTCCATTTCTCAATTTCAATCTGTAACAGCTTATTTTCTAAAGTGTCTACAACAGTTTTAGTACATCTATGTAAATTATCTATATTAAACATTCCAATGTTTCTGTACATTTCCATTATACGAAATATTCCGGTTTTACATCTTGTATTGGATGACAATTTAACCCATTCAAAAACTTTTTTATTTAATCTAGAGTCATGCATCTTTAAAAATCTACAATACTGCCTTGTAACAGCACCCCACTGTTTTACAAATATTGGTTTCCAACCCATATCTCCAAGTACAGCAGCATTTGGTGTGTATTTTCCAACTCCCAAAAAATACCTCATGGCTCTATTTTGGACAGCATTTATACATGAGTAGGATTTATCACCCCATATTGGAGCTGCATAATTTATTACAGGTAGAACCATGGAGTCATTGAGTTTTGTGAATGTTGAAAAGTTAAAACCACCAAAACTTTTACATTTCGAGATTACAAAAATAGAGAAAATAAGAATCCTTAAAGAAAGTCCAACACAACATAATTGAAAATGTTGCAGGCTCGGTTTGATTGAGCCTGTTCATGAACGGTACTGTAAAGTGGAAACTACCTTCCACGCCCCCTAGCACCGGCTTAAGCAGAATTCAACATTTGAACATGTAATGGTGAAATTTTGAATTTAGAAACATCCGCAGATGTGTTCGTACCGCGGTTATCATGGAACCTTCAACGTGACACTTCCGTGCCATTCCATGAAAAGCGGCGTATGGTCCCCAAGTAATAGAAAGCGTGTGCCCTAAACGAGAAAACAATGGGCGGAACTAAATAAAATGGAATTTTGAAAGGGGATCAGAGGTTATGAAGCCTGTTATGAAGCCTACTAAACCAAGTGCTCTACCAGCGGACATGGCTACATTTTTGGCAATTTCTGTAAAATCTAAGAATTCATTTAATACAACATCAAGATATCTATAACTATGAGTAATCTGTAGGTGTGACGGTCCAATTTTAAAAACAGAGCTTGCCTGAATACAACTAGGTGGTCGAAAATGAACAATATTAGATTTGTTACAATTAACAACCATACTATTATTATTACACCAAATATTTAAGATATCAAGCAGCTTCTGTAAATCTGCAGCTGTTTCCGCTAAGATAACAATATCGTCTGCGAATAATAAAATACTTAACAGCTCATCATTTACTTTAATTCCAATATTTGCTTCTTTTATAGCAGTAACTAAGTCATTGATGTATAGGTTAAAAAGTATAGGTGACAGCGGGCAGCCTTGTTTCAAACCACAATTTACTTCAAACCACTGTTAATCAAAACCATTTAACCTTATACAGCATTGAACATCTTTATACAATGAAATAACAGATTTGAGAATTTTTCCACACAGACCTAACTGTTGTAGTTTTGTCCATAATTTAGCCCTAGGTACAGTATCATATGCCTTTTTGAAATCAATAAAGGCTGCAAAAGTACTTTGCTTTTTCAATTTTCTTGTTTCAACAATACTTGTAAGGGTGTAGACATGATCAATAGTACTTCTATCTTTAACAAAACCATTTTGCTCATCATGTATAATTTTTTCACTCTCACAGAATTTAGAAATTCTTTCATTTAAAATACTGCAATATACCTTATACATTGATGGTGCAAGAGTAATGCCCCTGTATGAAAGTGGGTCCAATGGTCTGAAGTCGATGACTTTGGTACTGGAGTAATGATACCCTTAGACCAGGCCGATGGTACCATGCTAGTATTTAGACATTGGTTGAATAAAGCCGTGAGAGTATATAAAGCCGGATCATTTTTCAGCAATTCAACCGGTATATCATCATGACCAGGGGCTTTACCAGACTTTGCATTAATAAGGGCCCTGTATGTCTCTTCAACAGATATTTCTGAATTTGGGTTAAAATGTGTAAAGTCACCGACTTCATTATCACAGGCCCCACCCACATACTGAGAACAACTGCCATCACCCTTTGTGTTCAGAAGGTCAGAGAAGTCAGATGCCCATTTTTCGAGCACAACCGTAGGTTTGGTACTAATTGAACCATCTGGCAAATCTGTTTCAAATGGGATATTTTTCATTCTCTCATTACCAATACCAATCTTCCCAGTTTGTTTCCAAAACTCAGTTGGTTTGATTGTTAATAAATCATAGGTTTACACTTCTTGAGTTATTGTGTGGTTGTTATTTTTCTCTGTCAATAACAATTAACTCATTAGCTTAATGACAATGACGCTTCGAATTGGTTGTTTTGAATAACCAAAGAAGTTTAAATATTCTTTTGACTCACGGTATCACCCCATATGCATTACCACCACTTTGAGGAGAATTGCATTGAAACTGAATGGCACAGATTCAAACCCAAGAAAGGGCAACAGTTATCTTTTTTATTATCATTTATTCTTTTACTATTTATTGGCTAAAAATGCCAAATCTAATAACACATATGGTACCTGATATTTTCAAAGTCTGATTAGATAAAATAAAACACGACAGAAGTATTTCATACTTTTTACGACAACATCAGCCAATATACTTTTAAGAAAAACTAGTGTTGTGCAGTCGAAAAACGATGAAACTCTTTTTCCAAAAACTTAATAAATATGCATGCTATTTTCTTTTAAACACAAAAACTTTGAAATGCATTCATTTTATAAACAGGCCATATTTTCAAAACAATGTGTGAAATTTCAAATATGTTAAGTTACAAATATTATGTGTTTTAATAACAGATGTCAAATAAATAATGTTGTAACTGGCAGATTAAGTGTAGCTTCTTTTTCTCTTTATCCAATCAATTGTGCTAAAAGTTTTATTTCATTAAGGTGATAATTTTATGTCAATCAAGCCGTCTGTACTTATTAAGTTGTTAAATTTTATGTCGGTGATGATTGCTGTTATAAATTCTATGTTGCTTCTTTACATATTTTGTACTGAAACCTGATTTGTCATATTGTTTTGTTTTTTTAAAAAACATAAATTTAATCGAAACCATTTTAGAAATATTGTAAAAATAGAAAATTGGGACAGCAAGATTTTGGATTTCCAAGTAATAACATTGTGGCTTTCTACCAGAAATAATTGTTACTGTTATCAATTTTTTTACATCAGGATAACCTGTGTATATTTGATATATTATAAATGTTTGTGGTATTCCGCCAAGAAAGAAATAACAAATTATATAACGGTACATTGTGTTGAAATTTAATCCACGTTCAATAGAACTATAATATTCAGCGCATAATACGTGAAGGAGATCAGTGCTTTTCCTCAACCTCTCGATTTAGCAAGCGAGACTACAAATTCAAATTCCCCAAGAAGAACAACAATAGGTTTTACAAATGGAATACCATTTAAAAGTTATAATTCATGTAGACAATGTGGACTTTATCATTATCATAGGCAGGAGAAATGTTGTGCAAAAATGGCAAGCTTCAACAAATGCAATAGAATTGGCCATTTTGCAAGAGTTTGTCTACTTCCAGCAGTAAAACAAAAGTCAACCCTATCTAAACAACGGGGTCAAGAACGTATGGCAACTTTAATAAGGCGTAAGACAGAAGAATTCACGTAACCATTCTATAATGATGACGATGCCTTCTTTCAGTACAAACAAACAAACTTCTCTGTTAGTAATGTTTCAACAGCAGAATTTCAGAAGTTAAAAGCATTGACTGATTGAATGAATAAAACCATTAACGGTTCGAGAATGTGGCTCTCATTTTGAAAAATCAAAGACTAAAGGACTTTAACGAAAATATGATGAACAAGATGCAGAATCAGGTTTCCCTCAGAAATCACAAATGTGTAATCTTAAAGAAACATTGTAACAAGAAAACAACTTGCTAAAAGAAATATTTAGGACTGACTCTTTAAAACTAGAGATTTGACAAACTTATTCTAGAATTTAAGAATCTAAATGACGATTATGAACAACTGAAACTGAAACACAACCAGAAATCTTACGAAATAGAAATGATAGAATAAAGGAAGAACGACCAAATAGATGACCTTAAAATGAAAACCACAGTTTGAGAGACGAGATTGCTCAGTTGGAAGACAAAACAAAATATGTCGAAAAAGAGGAAATAGATATCATGATCTTTCAACTGCATGCGAAACCGGGTTCCATCTTGAATAGAGAAGAGGCCAATATCATCATGGAAGACAGCAAGGACAGATGGGCAGTATAACAGAAATAGACGTCAATGAAAGTGTGTTGTTTGCAATAAAACAATGATGTTGACATATTATAAGTGAATGGTACTTGTGTTTTCAGCAAAATCAGTGCTTGATATTCACAATATATTTCTGTAACTTATATCTTACGTAAATAGTATTATAT